GGTTGGAAGAGACCTTTAAGATCATCGAGTCCAACCCATCTTCTAACACCTCAACTAGATCATGGCACCAAGTGCCACATCCAGCCTTTTTTTAAACACATCCAGGGATGGTGACTCCACCCCCTCCCTGGGCAATGATTCCAGTATTTGACCACTTGGCTTTATTGCCTGGGCGTTGTTGGACACATCAAATAAATCCATTTCTAAGTCCCCTCCAGCAGCTTTGCAGTCCCTGATAACTTCCCACACTGTCCATCACATTTCTGCCTGTTCCTCTTGAAGGGAGAACATAAAACCATGTCTGGTGCTGCTCAGCAGAGCCTGGCACCTTGCAAAGCAGCTGCTGCGCTGGAAACAAGCCCATCCTGTGCGGGCAGGATGGAGTCAGGAGCCCAGCAGGAGCAAACTGCGGGGAAGGGGCGGCTGTGAGCAGGGGATGGGTCTCACCGCGGCAGGCGGGCGGGGCCCCGCTCCAGGTGCCGCTGTCCCCGCTGTCCCCGGTGCTGTCCCCGCTGTCCCCGGTGCAGCGCAGCGTGTCCTCTCCCACCAGCTCCAGCCCCGGCTCGCACGTGTAGGTTGTGACAGAGCCCAGCACGAACTCCCCCGAGCTGTTCCCGCTGTGCTGCCCGCGGGGGATGGCTGGAGGAGGGGGGCAGGAAATCACTGCGGGAGGAACGGAAGAAGTCAGAGCAAGTGACCTCTGGGATGCTCTTCTCAGCTGACACTGCTCCTGTCAGGCCTTCACAGGAGCCAGGGGTGCTCCTGGGGACTCCCAGCAGCTGTCCCCTTGCAGAGATGCTGACCTGACTTCACTTAGCGAGGTAAACCAAAAATTCAGTATTTCTGAGTTGGAATATTTGGTTTTTCCAGTCAAGCACTGGACAACTTCACTCACCCTGACAAGCTGGAAGAGGACTCCAGACAGCTTTGTCTCCCTGTAGGAGACAATTGATGGAAGGTGATTCTCCCTTCAATCTGTACCTGCGGGGGCAAAAGGCACATCCCAAAATCAGCTGGTTGCCACCAACCAAGAGTGTGTGACCACAGAGGTGCTGAGGACTGTGCACGGGCAGAGCCATGTCCCAGTTACACCCAGTGACCCTGGCCAGGCAACTGGGAGGCAGAGGGCAGTGGCTTCACACTCACCCACGGTCACAAACCACTCTGGCTGTTGCACCCAGCTGATGTTCTGTTAGGATAACTTGGCCATGTTCTGGATTGGCTGGGATACCACAAGATTTCTCTAAAAAAGGAGTAAGATTATCCTTAAGACACCACGAGGCTGGGAAAAACCCCACAAGTTTAGTTTTCATGGCAGTGTGGCAATGTCAAATCAGGCAGTTAATGGTATTTCATATTAAATGTCATTAGAAAAGAGCAATTTTAAAATACAGGCGTGGCACTTGGAACACGGCATTGGGGGAAATGAAATGACATGGGGACACTCACTCTGACACAGCTGAGGAACTTCTGTCCACGTTAAGTTGTCCAAACAGGTGCTGGTGGGGGGCTGGGCTGTGGTGTTTTCAAAACCTTGGCGACAAATGTACCTCACCGTGGTGTTAACGGCGTAAAAATTCTGCATTTTGTCTTCTGCTGATATCGCAGCGAATGACACAGATCTGGGTCTGGGACAGCTCCCTGGCCACCACAGAGACACCCAAATGTCGGGTTACAGAGCAAAAATAACACTTTGTAAACAGAAATCCGAGTGATAACGCACGAGCCTCGCTAAGAACATGGATCCCAAACAGTGCCCTCCTCCCTGGCCACTTCCACCAGGGAATTGTCTGAGGTGAGAGAGTGCAGCCAGTTCTCACTGGAGAAGTTTCCAATTCCCCAGACCCAAACCTCCCCGCCTGGTTAACCCTTTGGTCACTCAGTGCTCTGCCCCTGCATTCCTTCCCCTTTCCCATGTGTTTCCCAAGCTGTTCCTCTGTTTTCATTAGCACACAAGTGCCACACAAGTGGTTCCGACCACTCGGTGGAGGGTAGGAAAAAGGGGCAGCAAGAGAAGTGGCCAGACCACTTCATCCTGTGTGATGAGGAAAGCCCTGAGGCAGCGATTGCCAAAGCTGTGGGTGTTCCCACAAGCAGCCCTTGCCCTCCTTGTGTCAGAGAAAGGGAAACACTCACGGCCGCAGAACTCGGGCAGGCTGGACCAGCGGGAGTTCGGCAGGCACTGGATGGTGTCGGAGAAAAAAGGGAGTTTGGTGTAACCCGGGATGCAGCCGAAGGTCACTGTGGAGCCCACGCTGAAGCTCGGCTGGTGTTTGGTGTCCCCCAGCGGCTCGGCGTGGCTGATATTTGGCAGCGGCCCGCAGTCCCCTGTAGAGAAATAAACGGGGATTTAGCCTGGCTCCTTCTGCTGCTTTTGTACCCCGGGCAGGGCGGGGCACACACAGAGCCGGTGGGAAAGGGGGGCACAGGGAGCACACACAGGGACAGGGATATGAGGCACACACACACAGAGCACACACATTCCCATGGATAACCCACCCTTCCATGGATAACCCACATTCCCGTAGATAACCCACCCCCCCATGGATAACCCACACTCCCATGGATACCCCCCATTCTCATGGATAACCCACCCCCCCCATGGATAACCCACACTCCCGTGGATAGCACACAGATCATACATTCCCATGGATACCCCACATTCCCATGGATACCCCACATTCTCATGGATAACCCACACTCCCCTGTATAACCCACACTCCCATGGATAACCCACGCCCCCATGGATAACCCACACTCCCCTGTATAACCCACACTCTTGTGGATAACCCACACTCCCATGGATAACCCACGCCCCCATGGATAACCCACACTCCCCTGTATAACCCACACTCCCATAGATAACCCACACTCCCATGGATAACCCACCCCTCCATGGGTAACCCACACTCCCGTGTATAACCCACACTCCCCTGTATAACCCACACTCCTGTGGATAACCCACACTCCCCTGTATAACCCACACTCCCGTGGATAACCCACACTCCCATGGATAACCCACACTCCCCTGTATAACCCACACTCCCGTGGATACCCCACATTCTCATGGATGCCCCACACTCCCGTGTATAACCCACCCCCCATGGATAACCCACGGGTCCTGCACTCGCACTCCCACGGGCTCAGAGGACGCTCCCGCACGCACGGAGCTCCCAGCCCGCAGTGCCCGGCTCCCCGCAGCCCCCTCCCCTCCAGGGGCTCACCCCGCGCCGCGGGCAGCACCATCAGCACCAGCAGCACCGGCAGCGGCAGCAGGAGCGAGCAGCGGCGGCCGGAGCCCATCGCGGGTCCCCGGCACTGCCCGGGCAGCGGAGCCGCTCCCGCGGGGCTGCTCCGAGCTCCGGCGAGCCCCCGCCCGCCCCTCCCGGCCAGCCCAGCTCAGCTGAGCTCAGCTCAGCTCCGGGAAGGCTCTGACGAAAGCCGTGAGCGCGGTGGGGAGCGGGGCTGGGTGTGGAACGCGCGGGGTGCGCGGTGCCAGGCGCGCCTGGCATCCCAAGGAGCAGCTTCCAGGGAACCCGCTGCCTCTGCCCCTCCTTCTCTGCCTTACTCTGCACCTGCCAGGAAAATCCCCCCTCCCTCCAAAGCTGCCAAGTCCCAAAGGGAAAGAAATACCCAAACGAAAAGGGGCAGGAAGGGGAATGTGTCCTCCCAGTCCGAGGAGAGGGCAGCCAGCAGCCGACCTGCACCTTCCTGCTTCCCTTTGTTATCCAGGAAACTGCGATGTTTCCACTGCTCGAACTTACCAGCTTACCTCTTTTATTTATTTTTTTAATTTACACTTTATTTTCCTTTCCTATACAATTTAAATTCCAATTGGATGCAACAAAGGCATTTGCGATGAGACGCAGAGGTGGTTTCCGAAGGGAAGGAATCCAGCACCTTGGATAACGTATTCCTATAAAACATTTCCTTGTAAACACGATGACAAATTCCATGGAGAGACCTTGGCTGCGTTTTTACAGCTCACTGCCCTGAATGGGGATGGTGGCTGCAGAAGGCAAGAGGAATCTGTTAACAGGAAATAAAACGAACCACCTTTAAATTCTGGGGAATTCTCCTGTATTAGCTTAGGCAGTGACCTTGGCACGGGGCAGGAGGATGCTGAAAAGTGTTTGGCAAAGGCTGCGGGCGATGCTGAGCCCCCGCAGGGAGTGGCTGCACTCGCTGAACCGAGAGCTGCAGCTCCAGCTCGGTGAAATGCCCGTGCTCGCAGGCTGAACCCAGAAAACCCCAAAAAAACCCAGAAAACAGGATATTTTCTGCTTGAGGAGGGGACAGGAGAGATCTGTGCCCCTGTCCGGGCTCAGCCCTGCCCTCTGCCCCCGCATTCACTGCCCCGTTTTGCCCCTTTTTGCCCCGTTTTGCCCCGTTTTGGCCCTTTTTGCCCCATTTTGCCGCGGGAGCAGCGGCTCCTCCCGGGCCGTGCCTGAGCCCCACGATAGCAGCGCTGTCCCTGCCCGGCCACCGAGGGCCACCTGCTTTATCTGGCCCTGCCAGCCGTGCCCGCAGAGCAGGAATCAGCCCGGGCAGCTGCTGCTGCACGCACGGAGCTGGCAAAACCCGGCAGCAAAAACAGCGCTGGAGCTGCCGGGATTGCCACAGGAATTCAGCCTCAGCTCCTAAACCTGCTGGGCTGGGCCTGGGTCTGCCTGGGCTGAGCCTGGGTGTGCCTGGGCTGGGCCTGGGTCTGCCTGGGCTGAGCCTGGGTCTGCCTGAGCTGAGCCTCAGCTCAGGGCTGCAGGGCTCAATCCTGGGGTGGCTGAAAGGGTCAGGAGGAGGTGTAACTCCAGCTGCCTTTTCCAGGCCACTTCCCAGAAACACATTCCTGCTTTCCTCCTTTACAACTTTTTTAAAATGTGCAACCAAGTCGAACTTGCCATGGGTGGCATTTATAAAATAAATGTTCAGAGTGATAAAGAACTGACAGAACATCAAATCCTGAGCATCGCCAGGATATACCTTAAAGCTGAATCTTTATTGAAAAATAGAAAAAAATACGACAAAAAACCAGCAAGGAGTTGAATTCACAGAGTGCCCTTTATAAACCATCACCATTTATTACTAAACAGAAATAAAAACCCAGGAAGGCTTTGGGAGTTTTAGGTCTTTACAGGACAGAATTGGGGTAGGCAGCCCAAAGAGCACCCGTGACTTTTCCAGTCCCTCTGTTGCAGGGTGGCAGCCCTGGGGAGGATATTCAGGAGTTGTGTTTCAGTGTCTGTGCCTGGCTGATGTGCTCAGAGCGGGACTGAGCTGCTCCCTCCCCCTGGAAAGCAGAAGTGGCTCCTTGACGTTATGAGATCAGAGATGCCCAACCCACATGTGGCGTTATCTTCCTGTGGTGGAAATAAAAACTGCAAGGAACTTCGGGCTGATACAAGAAAAAGCTTTTGCTAAAGAAAGGGCTAAAACCACTCCAGATATAAAGATTAAACAGTGTAACATCCCATGGTTTCCTGAAAGAAATGAGCTAAAACCCTGCAGGACGGGGAAGTCCTGGCTTCGCTTTTCCCTGCTGGCAGCTGGATGCACATCTGGATCAGCTGCATTCGGGAATTCCTGGGAAGCTGAGGGTGCAGCTCCCTCCCCAGGGCGGCTGGGCTGTGTTTAGGGTTTGTTGTGGTGTTTCCAGTGAGCAGGAAACCTGCGGCCCTGGAAACACCGCGTCAGGCTGGGCGGGACCCGGCCGGGCTCCGGGAACTCTGCAGAACCCCGGGGGTTTTCAGCCGCTCAAACCCTGCTGGGATCTGCAGGAATCGCAGCTGGATCGGGTGCTGGGAGGCAGGACTGAAAGGAAAACTCGGGTGGGAGGAGCAGATATGGAAATCAGCCAGTGCTTTTAGGAATAATTTTCCATCCATTTCTTGGAATGCAAAAACATCATCATTAAAAAATGACATCTTATAGGTGGACAGACCTGATTTAGGGCATCCTTTATCTTAAAGCAAGGAGTCCTAATAAGTGTGACCATTGCATGAGGCACTTTTGGAACAGGTCAGGAATGGTAAAAAATATTCTGGTTTTGACCCAAAAGACAAAACTCAGGGTTGGGCAAGCTCAGTGGACCCTGACACCAGAGGAACCCCTTTCAGCATCCCCCAGCTGGGTACCGAGATCCTCCAGTGGCTGTTGTGCCTTCCCCACTCACAGAGACACAACTACAGCTCCCAGCACTTCCCACAAAGCCAAAACTCATCCTTTTCGTGGATTAAAATTATCCTCTGCAGCGGGTGGGGGATTTGGAGGACCAGAACTTCCACCACGTCCAGCTTCTCCTGGCTGTGCATGACCTCCCTGTGGGGAACAAGGCTGGCATCAGCACCTCGGAGCCCTGGCACCCTCAGGGCTACAGGGTACAAAGTCCTCTCTTGCTTTTCAAAACGCCCAAAAAATTCTTTTTAAAAAATAAATCTGTAATAAGGTGAGGACAAGGAAATAATCAATAAATTAAAATGTATTCCAGACAAAGCAAAGCTTTTTATGAGAATAGGAGGTCAGTGCAGTCAAAGATGAGTTGTGAACCAGATGCCCAACCACCAAAAAATATAAATTATACAGAGAAAACTTACAGAAGAAAATAACGTGACAAAAAAGCCACTCACTTCCACAAAACGATGGAAATTTGGGCCGTTTTAACTTCTGAAAGCAGCCAGGTGGGGGAAGGATCCCCACGTACTTCGGAGGACACATGGATGCTTTGCTGGACCCAGAATAGGATTTGGGGGATTTGTACAAAGGCAGAACAAATCTGAACTCTGAGGCAGCCCAGTTCCTGCTCACTGAAGGGAAATAAAGGGGAAATAAAGAGGAACAAAATGAAAATTCCAGTTTTTAGGGGTGGGGGTAACCAGGGGTGCCGCTGATGTCGGTGTCCCTGCAGGACTGACCTGGTTTCCAGGAGGAGGAGGGCTGCGAGGGGGAGATGGTGTTTTGGAGCGCCTTTCTGTGCAGGCTGAGCTTCCTCTGCCACACCAGGCCCTGCTCAGGGGGCCGGGCTCCCTTTGCCTGCGGAGCTGAGCAAACGGAATTGGGGGTGACACTCAGGGGTGGCCTTTCCTGGAAATGGGATAGAGGGGGAATAATAAATATATAAATAAACGGGACTGGGTTCAAAAGTGAGTGATCCCGACTCACCTTTGGGACGAGCTCTCCTGGCCGTGCCCTTCGCTCCGAGGCCGAGGGCTGAGCTCTGCTCTGGGGACAGAGGCAGCGGGCTCAGGGCGCGCCTCCTTCCTCCGGAGCCCCCCCGCCCCTGCTCCAGCCTCTTTCCCCGGTAACATTTCCTTCCAGCTTCCATTTGACCCCCCCTTCACTTCATACCCATAATGTTTTAAGATCTTTCACCCTGAATAAAAAACTAATACTAAATACTGAGTAATAAATACTAAATACTAAATACTAAACACTAATTAATAAATACTAAATACTAAGTAAAAAATACTAAATAATACTAAATAACATGAAATACCAAATAATAAATATTATACAATGAATACTAAATAATTAATAATAATTTATCACTATTAATTAATAATTAACAACAAAAAGAAACCATTAAACTTATTATAAAATACTAATTAATAATTAATAATAATATATTTCAATTAATAAAAATAAATTATAAAGAATAGAAATTAAATTATATATTATCTATGAGAAATGATAAACAATAAATAATAAATAATAAACAAAAATAATAAATAAAAAAATGCTGATTTTGTGGGAGCAAAGCTGCTGAAATAGCAGAATAAACATTTCTCAGCTGTGTTTTGGGGACAGATCAGCCACAGAGTATCAACAAAAGCAATTCCAAGAGAGCTTTGGTCTGAACATGGGGATGCAGGATCTGCTGGAGCGAAGCAAAAAGGTTCAGTCTCACAATTTAGGAAGAATCTCACGTTCACAAGTTGGAAGTTTGCTCCATTCAACGTCGTTTCCTTTCAGCTGGCACCAGATGAAATTATTCCCGACTAATTTGTACCTAAAATACAGGAGGGAAAATCAGTGTAAGCACCCAAAACCTGGGAGCATTTCCCACCCTCCTGCAGAGCATGACCAGGGGTGTGGGAGAGGCAGTGAGGCTGCTGGGGAGCAGAACTCCTGTCAGCATCTCTGTTCCTCTATTTTTGGTGGCTCTCTGCTCTGACTCTGCATTTTCCATTTCCAGGGAAGGGAGAAGTTGGAGCTGAGGCTGGCAGAGTTCTCTGGGAATGCCAGGCAGGGCTGAGCTGAGGGCTGGATTCCCACATGGATTTGCTGAATCAGGGGCTCCATCCCTGCCTGCTCCTGGCCCACAGCAGTGCTGGGGTTGACCCTGTCCCCATCCAGGGCCTTTCCCACGCTGCTGTCACCTCAGGGGTGGCACCTGGGACAGTGGAAGGTGTCACCCACCTCACTGGGTGAGTTTTAAGCTCTGTTCCAACCCAGTCTGGGATTCAGATAAATCCTCCATGTACTCCAGGACAGTGAGGGCAGCAGGGATTGATCCACGTTAATTAAAGTGGTTCCTGCTCTGGTTTGCAGGGACAGCTGGCACGTTCCCCGTTCTGAATCCCTCCCTGTGCACAAACCCTCAGCATCTGGCCAGGATGGATAATATCTGATCTAAGAAGAGCAGCATTATCCCTCCACCCTGCAGTGGGTTTCCAGAGTTGAGCTCAGCCCCAGCAGGGTGGGACTCGCTCTCATTTCCTTCAATTGCATCCCCAGGGAGAGACAAAACCCCTCTGCTGGCCCTGGAGCTGGGCAGCACCAGGCAGAGGATGCCAGCTGCTTCCTGCTGGGAGGGAGGAACACTGGCTGCAGTGGCAAGAAATTAAAATTTCAGGGCTGCCCACTGCATTTGGGCCCTGATTGAAAGCAGGCAGCAGCCATGAGTCAGCTCCTGACTGTGGAAATTGTGTTTCACTGCACTTTTCCAGCTGAACTTTAATGGATTTTAAACATCCCAATGTAACCCTTTTTTTCCAATATATCTCAACAACTGCCTTAAGCCAAAATATTTTAAATAACTTGTATTGAAGTCTGCAGTTATCAACTACAAATACAACCAGCTGCTCCTGTTGGGGTGGACACTCAGAGCTCCTCTGGGGGGCACTTGGAGGAAAAGGTGGCCCTGGATCCCCCCTGGTGCCCTCCCTGCAGCTGAGTGCCCCTCTGGAGCTGTGCCCAGCACTCACCCCTCCTCACAGAACAATTCCACTCCTGCTCCCAGCTGCAGGTCCGTGAGGGGCCCCGTCCTCCCCCCGGGCAGCATCCCTGGGGTGCCACAGGACCTCCCTGGGGACACAAAAAAGGCAGAGTGAGACCCAGACACAGGCTTGGAGGGGAATTCCCAAAGATTCCAGAGGGTTTTACTCCATGGACATCACAGCCAGGCTGGCAGGAGCCAGACTCAGCTGTGGGGCAAGGTGGGGATCCCAAAATGCTCCACACCCTCAGAGGGGTTTCCATTCAGTGGATCTGGAACAAGGCACTCGACTGTGAAAAAACATTCCTGTCCCATCACCAGTCTCAATATTCCACGAGTGTCACCAAGGGAATGCTTTGCCTTCCTGTTGAAGCTCAGTGCTAGAATAGTAAACTGGGATTTGTGCCCTGCCTGTCCTGGTGAAAACATCTTTTAGGACCACAAAAAGCTTGGAAAAGGCCTCTGAGATCACCGAGTCCAACCAAACATTCCCTAGCATGAAAATCAAGCCAGACCTGTTTGTGCCAGCAGAAAAACCAAAAAGAACATCAGTGACACTTCTGCTGCTCAGTCTTAAATAGGAATGACAAGGAATATCCCCAATTTCCTGTTGATGGAGCTCTTGGAAGATAATGACCAGGCTGGGAGCAGCCAGGGCTGCTTTTTGGGGTGTGGGGCAGCAGAAATACTCACTCCTGCACAGCTCGGCGGGCTGGGACCACGTCAGGCTCTCGAGGCAGGTGCTGGAGGGGGAGCTCTCCGAGGAGTTCTCGTAGCCAGGCCTGCAGACGTAGCTCACGTTGGTGCCAACGGGGAAGAAATTCCTCCTCTCATCCTCCTTGGACAGGGCAGCAAACCTCAGCCTGGCTGGGGCAGCGCAGCTCCCTGGCAGCCAAGGAGAGGCAGCCTGACAGAGCTGCCACCAGCAGCTGCCCAAACACTCCCTGGGGTCACCGGAATGCCTCTGAGAGCTCCTGGTGCTGCTGGCAGCAGAGCTGGGGCTCCTTTCCAGCTGCCAACCTGCTGCAGGCTCCAGAGCGGGGTAAGGAGCCCGGGGAGGGGTCAGCAGGACATGGGGAGCACAGGGGGGGACACAGGAGCCCCCAGCCCACCCCTGACTGAGCCCTCTGCCAGCCCCTGGGGCCACCAGAGACTGCGAGGGGCAGCAGGGCAGGGCAGGGGGCTTGTCCCCAGGGCAGGGACAGTGACAGGGCAGGGGTTTTGTCCCCAGAACAGGGACAGAGCCAGGGCAGCAGGTTTGTCCTTGGGGACAGGGATAGAGCAGCACAGAGGGTTTGTCCCCAGGGCAGGGACAGTGACAGGGCAGGGGTTTTGTCCCCAGGGCAGGGGCAGAGCCAGGGCAGCAGGTTTGTCTCTGGGGACAGGGACAGAGCCAGGGTACATTGCTGGAGGGCCTGGAATAGGTCATGGCAGGAGGGGGCCCGCAGTCACCTGCGGCAGGAGAACACCTCCTCAGTGAGGACCCCCTTCCCCGGCCCCTTCCCCAGCCCAGGAGGGTGCTTGGATGGCCCGGGTACCCCTGCGGGAAGGCACCAGCCAGGGCTGGCCCTGGGACAGCGCTGACCCCAGATCCAAGGTGTGGCACCCCCAGCCCAGCCCCGGAGCAGCCAGTGGGATCCAGGCAGGTGTCCCTGCTCCTTGCCACGGCCCCATACTCACCGTGAGCCCCAGGAATGCTGAGGAGCCCCAGCAGGGCCAGCAGCAGCACGGGCTGGCCAGAGGTCACCCCGCAGCTCGGGGGGTCGGGGGGTCCCCCCCATCCCGGTGCTGCAGCCTTCATTGCAGAGCCGTGCTGCTCTGTGCAGCCCTGAGCCTGCCAGGGCTGGGAGGGGAGGCACTGCAGGCTCCACCAAACCTCTGGAGCTGTGGAAACCTCCCCAGGACACCCACGGAGCTGAAATCTCCGTCAGGAGCAGGGAGAGCAGCCAGGGTGGGGAGAGCTGTCACTCCCAGGCTCGGGGAGAGCCTCCTGGTCCTCCTGCCCCAGCTCTTATTTGTGTCACTTTGTTATTTTCTTCTGAGCTGGCAGGGAGCACCGACCAACCGAGTTTTTCCAAAACTGCATTCCCAGAGAAGAAAATCCCTATTCCAGCCCCAAGCTGCGTGCCGGGTGGGAAGCACCTCCCCAGTTATTTGCTGGCAGGTGATGCACCACAGATCTGCTGTCAGCACGGTCAGTGGAGCAAATAAAACATTTTCCTTCTCATCTGCTCTATTTTCCTTTGGCTGCCTGACTCCTGGTAATGAGGAACGGCTGCGAGCAGCCACATCTCATGAACCCTGTGACATGTCCTGTGTGACATCAGCCAGGGCAGAGGGTTTATGTCCTGGGCAGGGACAGTGCCAGAGCAGTGGGTTTGTGTCCTGGGCAGGGACAGTGCCAGGGCAGTGGGTTTGTGTCCCCTGGGCAGTGCCAGGGCAGTGGGTTTGTGTCCCCTGGGCAGGGACAGTGCCAGGGCAGTGGGTTTGTGTCCCCTGGGCAGTGCCAGGGCAGTGGGTTTGTCCCCTGTGCAGGGACAGTGCCAGGGCAGTACCAGCCCCACGGGTACAGCCCCAAGCCCGTATGTGCACATTTCATTTCCTGGCTGCCTGCCCCTCTGTGATGGATCCCCTGGGCAGAGCCATCGCTGCCAGGGGTGGCACACGAGGTTGGTCACTGCCCTCAGCCGGGGCTGCCCGGCCACTCGCTGCCCTTTGGCACAGCTTGGCCAAGGTGGCCCCAGAGATGGTGTGGGGTCAGCCCAGGGGGAATGGATGGATGGATGGATGGATGGATGGATGGATGGATGGATGGATGGATGGATGATGGATGGATGGATGGACAGACACTGAATGCAGCTGAGCCGGGTGGTTCTGCAGGCACAGGCTGTGGGCTCCTGGGCAGGGACGATCCCAGCAGGGGCTGCGGTGCTGCAGCAGAGCAAGTGTGCCACCTAGTGCCCTGCATCCCAAATCTGCACCCCAGATCCACATCCTGAATCCACACCCTGCACCCCT